AAAAAAAAAAAAAAAAACAAACAGGTATCAAATAAAAAATATATAAGAAGATACCTCAGTGACCATAATTATCAAGATTCAGAAAAATTATATGGATGCAAAAATTTCAATTATTTTATTTTCTCTATTCAACACTGTCAAGAGACACAAACTCATCATCTTTTCAAAGGAGGAATGATGAAATATCCTTCGTCACCTTTTTATTTATCAGATACCGGTTATGTGCCAAGGTCAAATAAAATGTCAAAGTAGATTACAATATTAAGGGAATCATTATCAATTGGTTCTTGAAAATCAGTTTTCATACAATATTTCCTTTTAATATCACAAATTCTTCCAATTCATGATTGAGTTACATAGTCTACTTACTAGAAATTTAATTGCACTATACTTTCTGAACATTTTAAAATTAAGTATGAGAGAAGAGGAAAAGAAGGACTAGTATGTCAGAGTAAGTTGAGAACTTTGGCTACCATTACATCATCCTCTGCATTTTGCTCTAAATGTATATTTTGTGGTACATCCATCAACCAACTCAAATGTAATTAGTGTCTCCTCTGTGTGTGGCACCTGCACTCTAGCAGCTTGTCTTTCCCCAGTCCTCTTAAACGAGGAGAGTTGTTACAAAGATGATGGAAAGGAATGGCCAATAGTTACCTTTCTTTCTACCGCCCATTCTCCCCAGAAGAGGATAAAATCAGTTACTTCCTGCGCTGCAAAAAACAGCGTGGATTTTTCCCATAGTCACTCACAAAGGCTAGAGCTTTATCACAACTGCTTTGTGGCACCCCTCTAGAGGGTGCTACTCATGACTTAGTCTATGGAAGCAGTACTCCGCCAAGTTGCACAACCATTTGCAGCCTCTCTGATGAGAAATCCTCCTTGTCTGCTAGGTACATAAGTTCTTACGAATGTATCCCCACCTCTTAGAAGGGAAGTGCTTCACCCACTAGAAATTCCTCCCTATATTTTGATTTATTATGATGCCCCAAGCTTTGGCCTACATATGATATTTATGCATTTTTATTTGGGTATAATTTAGAGTTAATTGCCTGTGTTTAGAATGTGACCATGTGTGTGAATGTCTAGGGACTGGCTAGATAAAGCAGTGAATTTTCTTGGGACCTGTTTTCAGGTAGGATAGAGGGAAGAGTAGTAGGTGTAAGAACAGGTAATGGAAATCTCACTAATTTTCTACAACATATGTTAAATTAGTAAAACATTTCATCTAGTTAATGGAAAGGATGCATTCTAACAGATATGTTCATTCACTCATTTATTCAAGAAATATTATGGAATGACCGTTATGTGCTGGGCATTCAGTAGTGAACCAGACATGGCCTCTGCACTTATGGGGTTTCTCTTGGTATTAGCAGACACAGACAATCAACACAGTGTGCTAAATACTGTGGCAGAGATATTAGAGAATGACCTGAAAGCTCACAGAGAGGACCAGTGATTGATTCTGGAGGCCATGCATGGTGGGAAAAGGATTCCAGAGACAGCTATATCTCAGCTCAGACTTCAAGGGTGTGTAGAAGTTTTCAGGTTGCAGAAAGGGTAGGAGCTAGGAGTGGGATAGGTATAGAGGAGAAGCAGGGACTAGAGAAGAAGAAGATTGCTCTTAAAAAATTTTTTTTTAATTTGAGAGAGAGAGAGGGAGCACATGCAAATTGGGGGGAGAGACAGGGTAG